CAAGATTCACCCCCTGACCTTCTGGGGACACATGGGCTATCCCTCAGGTTGTCAGTGGCCCCAGAGCTTCTCACCATTCTCTTGCCGTGTTGCCCTCAGTGGCTCTGGGAGATGCCCAGGCAGTGTCTTCAAGGGCGTGATGTGCACAGGACCGGAGGCCTGGAGTCGGTTTCAGCTGCCCCACGTGCAACCTCAGTGATCACCCAGGGTGTTAAAATGGCCTGGGAGTTGCCAAGGGAGGGGCTGGGGGAAGGACTGGATTGCAGGAACAACCCAGGAGTGACCCTCTCCCCACAGTGGAAGATTCAGACTGGGGACAATCTTCTTCTTTTGGATCCAGATACTTGAGGAGCCCAAATTGGCAAGTGGTCCTCCAGGAATGACCGCGTTTTCCTTCCCTTCATTTCCAGGACCAGGAAGGTCAGTTCTTTGAGAAAAATAGATTCCAGCATGTACACTGGGCAAGTGGCCTCCCTCTCTGAGTATCAGTTTCCTCATGAATGAAATGCAAGGTAAGAGCCAATGGCATCCCTGGTTACTCCAAGGGTCCATAGGGAAGGAGGTGGGTTCACTTGGTGAGCAGTGGGGATGGAGGGGCATGGTGCAGACAGGCAGGTGCTTTACACCCACGCGCTCCGCTTGCCTCCTGATCATTCTCCTCCAGATTGCCTTGAGAGCTGCTGTACCCCACCCTTAGTCCCTTCAGATCCTGTGATGTTGACCTGCTCCAGAGCTCCAGGCCCGGACACAGGACCCAGCCTGGCCATCTAGAGTAGCTCATCCCTCTGGCTGTAGCAGTTGGTTCAGGAATGGCTGTATGGCTCAAGCTGGAACTTCTCCAAGAACTATTAGGAAAGAGGCACTCTTAAAAGAGGATACTGAGTTGATAGATTGAAGCTGCTGTCGCCAGCAGTGGTGGTGATTGTGGTGGGAACTCTTACAGAATGAAGCCAAAGGAAAATAAGAGCCTAGAGCTGGAGGAAAATCATCTAATTATCACTTAAGCACCTGGATCCAGCCATGCCTGAAGCTAGATACCCCTAAAATTTTCAGTTAAATTGGCCAATAAATTTCCTTTTTACCCAAGCTATTTGAACAAAGGCCAAAGTATCCAGGTGGATATAAGTTTATCCTCCATGCTCTACCTCCATGGCAGAGGCAGGCAATGGCAAAATCAACCTGGGTTGGTTTGTTTTTAGCATTTAGAGGCCAGACACTCAGAACAACTCAGAGAGAACTTCCTGCTGCCCCTGCTGGAGAGGAAAGGGTGACTGCCTTCCTCTCTGCTTTGGGACTGCAGCTCCAGTGCCTGCTCGATAGTGGAGACTATTCATTCAACACAACACTCATGAGGAGCACTGTGAGCCTCACCTTAGGACAGGCAAGAAACACAGAACTGGAAAGTGTGAGAGCAGCCCTGGAAGGGTGTTCAGTCTAGAGGGTGACCAAGGCCTGCAAACAAGCCTTTCTAAGGCAGGGTGAGTGCTTTGGTGGGGGCCCTCCCAGAGGTAGAGGGCCTACTCCCATTGAAGTGGGAGGGACAGATGCAGGAAGGCTTCCCAGAAGTGATGCCTGAGATAAGACCAAAAGGCAGTAGGAAGCTGGGGCAATACAGGTGGGGGAAGTTTTTAAGTAGAAGTTCCTGCCATGAGCATAGACACTGAGGCCTCAGAAGGCAGAGAGCCTGCGGGGGAGTAAAACCAATCCCAAATGACAAGGTACAAAGTGCCAGGGAAACAGTGATGAGACTGGAGGCCACATCTGGCAGGGGCTTATAAACCACAGAAAGCGTTGGAGTTTAAAACTGAAGAGTTTTAAACAAAGAAGAGTTGGGGCTGGATTGTGTCTTAGAAAAATCATTCTGGGCTGGGCATGATGACTCACACTTGCAATCCCAGAACTTTGGGAGGCCAAGGTGAGTGAATCACCTCAGGTCAGGAGTTCAAGACCGGCCTGGGCAACATAGTGAAACTCCATCTCTATTAAAAATATATAAATTATCTGGGCATTGTGGTGCATGCCTATAATCCCAGCTACTGGGGAAGCTGAGGCAGGAGAATCACTTGAACTGGGGAGGCAGGGGTTACAGTGAGCCAAGAACATGCCACTGCATGCCAGCCTGGACAACAGAGCAAGACTCTGTCTCAAAAAAATAATAATAATAATAAATAAGAAAGAAAAGAAAAAAGAAGGAAAGAAAGAAAGAGAGAGAGAGAAAAGAATAGAAAAAAGAAAAGAAGAAAAACAAAGAAAAAGAAACAAAAACAGAAAAATCACTCTGACTGCAATAGCAAAGCTGGATTAACCAGAGTTCACTGAAGCTATTGCTCTCCCCACAAGAGAGGAAGCACCCGAGTCTAAGAGAATGATGGTGTTAGCCCCTGCAGGTTGCTATGACAAACTGTACCAAGCTGGGGAGCTTATAAACAACAGAAACTTATTTCTCGCAGTTCTGGAAGCCGGGAAGTCCAAGATCAAGGCACCAGCCGATCTGGTGTCTGCAGAGAGCTCCCTCCTTCCTAGACAGTGCTTTTTTACCAAACTCACCTGGCAAAAGGGAAGGGCAGCTCTCTAGGACGTCTTTCATAGGAGTGTTAATCTCATTCACAAAGCAAAATCCTCATGACTTATTCACTCCCAAAGACCCCACCATCACCTCGGTGACTAAGTTTCAGTAGATCAGTTTGGGGTCGCACAAACATGCATGCCATAGCGGGGGTCATTTGTTGAGCTTGTACTACGTGCAAGGCTTTGTGTTAACCTCATTACAAGGAATCAGCCTTTTAGCCATGGTAACATCACTATTTTGAGAGATGAGGAAACTGAGGGACAGGTTAGGAAACTTGGCCAAAGGCTCACAAATGGAGGGTTAGGAAAGCCAGGATTCCAATCCAGACAGGCTGACTCCAGCATTCCAGGTAGTAAAGAGGTGACAGAGGGGGAAAATACTTAAAGGATCGTGTTGCAAGAACAGGTCTGATTGGATGGTAAGGTCAGGAGCAGAGTGAGGGATGAGGGGATGTTCATGTCTCCCAGGCAGGGCCTGCTCCCTAATTTGTGGAACTCAGTGAAGAATGCAAGTGCTGAGCAATTTGTTCAAAATGTATTAAGAATTCCAAGACAGTGCTGGTAGACTGTAAACCAAGCTCAGGGCCTGTCTGAGCTTGGGGCCCAGTGTAACTGCGCAGGAAGCAGATCTCTCTCAGGTTTCTGTTCCACGTGCCTGGAATGGCATCCCAGCCTCCTGCTCCTCATCAGCCCAACAAGGAGCACCTGCCTTAAGCCCCTCGTTCACTCATTCATCCAGCAGATACTTACTGAGGACACTGAGCACCAAATGCTGGGACACGAGAGTCCAGGAATTTGCCTCGTAGAACCTTGAGGCACCAGCTGCTTTTCCTTTGCCTGCCAAAGCCCCACACCTGGTATAATGGTCTCAGTCCCCAGAAGAGACCCTAGTTCACAGCTGCCCAGAAGCAGCCTGCCCCAGTTCAAGACTCTATCAGGATCTGGGAGAACAAAAACGAAAATACTAAATAGCCGGACTGGCCCGTACTCTGAGAAAGCCAGCAGGGAGTGAGAAGCCCATACAGCTGGCAGAACACAAAGGCAGCCCACCCAGCAGAGGCCTGGCAAACTCCCGGGTACCTCCTGCCTGGAGACCATGTCCCCCAGGGACAAATCTCTGCCCTAGAGGGGTTTACACTCCAGTGGGTTGGGGGAGGGGAGGTGCTGTGGTAGCTATAAGATTGACAACAGAAAATTTTTATTTAGTGGTCACACTGTGCCAGCCCTGCTCTAACTCAATTTTCATGCCCTATGAAGTAGTTGATGAGGAAGTAATGAGGAAAATAATAACTCACTCGGAAGGAAATGAAGGCACAGAGGAATTAAGTGACTTACTCAAAGCCACGCATCTGGTAGGTGGTGGTGCCAGGATTTGAACCCATAAGCTGAAAAGTTCTCCATCCCCATGCTGAGGACTCACCCAAATTCCTCCTGCAAGAGATAAGGTTTACTCAGTTTACAGACCAGGATGTGGAAGCCCCCCAGGCAAAGCTGCCCACCCTAGGTCTCATGGCCAGCTGTTGGGGAGCGGGACTCAGGGTTAGCTTCCGGGCACTCCACCCTTCTCTCCCCACTCCAGCAGCCCCAGGATCATCTGCCCCATGACATGACAACTTCTCATTACTCTCACAAGCAACCAAGCCAGGGCCATCCTGGGGTATACGATACCACTTTCCCCTGTCCCTAAGGGAGAAGAGAGGACAGAAACCAACTCCCAGCTGGGGTGCTCACGTGCCCCACCTTGGAAGGATTTTCTGTGCCTCTAGAAGCAAAGTGGACTTGCTGGGCCCTCCCCAGCCTCACCCTTCTGCGTCCTCTCCTCCCTCTGCTCTCTCTGGGAGTCACTTGTACTCTAAGCGCTAGCATGGAACCAGAGGGAGGAAGGTGGGGGGGGTGGGAGAAGTGGGTGGCAGCAGGGCTGAAACTTGAGATCTTAGCCTTGGGGGGCAGGGGATGGGGGTGGAGGGAAAGAGAGAGAGAGAGAGAAAGGGGGAGTTAAGTTGCATTTAGTTTTCCAAAGCGGGCAGCACTGGGGCTCGGTGTTTGTGTCTACATGAATGTGTACACGTGTGTGTGTGCGAGTGTGTGCACATATCTGTGCTCCTGAGTGTGTGCACATGTCTGTGTGCTGTTTTCTTCCCTCCCCTCCAGCGGGGAAGCCAGGGCTGACTGGATAATCAAAAGGCTCAGAGCAAGGTTGGTACACAGTTAGGGTAAGGGCAACAGGGCAACGTGCAGTCAAGACTGAGGAAGGAGGAAGGAAAGGGGTGAAGAATAGAGATGAGAGGGTGTGTCGGATAGGGGAGGCGGGAGGTGGCCGAGAGGAAGCAGAGCAGCTGTGGTATTCAGAGCAAGTATAAATAGCTGCCTGGACAGAGCTCTGCCAGATAGGGGCTTGCAGCTGCAGCTGCAGGCAATTCTGACCACCGTTGACAGCAGCAGGACATCCCAGGCCCAGCCCCAGCCCCTGGGACTCTGACCCAATACCCCTTGCCATTGCCACATCTCCAGATGCTCTTCCAGCTCGACATGCTGCGGGGTGGCCTCCTCCTCATGGTTGCCACCGTGTCTGTGGCTCAACAGATAAGGCAGGAGACGGATAGCGACCATGAGACACTTGTAGTCCAGCACGGCCACTGTCGCTACACCTTCTTGCTGCCCAAGTCCGAGCCCTGCCCTCCAGCACCTGAGCCCTCTGGGGACTCCAGCAGCTTCCAGAGGGACCCCCTGGCTACCTCACTGCACCCAGGGAAGTTACCCGCCCAACAGGTGAAACGGCTGGAGCAGGCGCTGCAGAACAACACGCAGTGGCTGGAGAAGGTACAGGGCGTGGGGGCCTTGCAGGGGGCAGAGGGCGGCTGTGGGGCCTGTCACAATCAGCAGGCGGAGCATCCATCCCAGAGGCCTTCCCTGGGCACAGAGGGCTGGCTCTGAGTTGCACAGATTGGGCTCTGAGGCCCAGAGAAGGGCAGGGATGGGCCCGAGGGCAGTGTCAGCTGGCAACCTGGCTCTTTCACTGCCATCCCTTCATTCATCCAACAGAAGTCCATTCAGCGCTGACCATGGGCCAAGCCATCCTGGGTGCTGGTGATACAACAGTATAGTATGTCTCCCTGTGGAAGTGGGGGAACGAGATCATCTACTATGTTAGATGGTGAAGCAAAATGAAGAAGAAGGCAAGGGTTGGCCTTGGGTGTCTGCTTGAGGTCAGATCATTAGAGAGGACATCTCAGAGGGGGTGACCTTTGAACCCAGAGGACAAGGGAAGTGATAGAGTGGGCCGTGCGGGTATTCGAGGGAACATTCCGCAAAGGGAGCAGCACATGTATTGCCTGTGAGGGGGGAATGCATCCCCAGTGGTGTGCGCCTGGAGAACGGCCAGCAACGGCTGGTGTGGCTGGAGCAGAGGGGAGGGAGCAAGGGCGAGGGAGAGGTGAGGGCGCGGCAGGCCATGCAGCTGTGGGGGCTGCTGGAAGGACTTCGTCGTTTGCTCTGAGTGTCATGGGAGCCACTGCAGGCTTTTGAGCAGGGACTGACACCCCTGATTTGATTTGAACAGCATAGACTATAGGAGGCAGGGTAGACGCAAAAAGCTCAAAGAGGCGGCCGCAGCAGCCACCAGGCGTGAGGTACTGGACGCCTGGAGCAGAACCAGCTGGGAGGGGGTGTGGCCAGTCCGATTCTGGGGGGTTCTGGAGGTGCTGCCCATCAGCTCTGCTGGTGAATTGATGTGGAGTGGGAGGAAGCAAGGAGCCAAGGGCACCACTGCGGTTTTGGCCCAAGACCTGGGCTGCTATAGAATGCCCTGTCATTCTTCCATCTTTCAGCAAACAGTGTGAGCACCTACTGTGTACTCTTGGGGAAGCACTGAGTACAGAGGTACGCAAGGCAGGCTTGGCCCTGGCAGGGCATGAGGGCACAAGAGACATCCTGGGGGGTCTGAGATGGGACTCTTTAGAGCCCCTAAGTGAGAGCTACCGAGGAAAGGGAGAGGGACCCAGGAGATAGTCTGGGTGGTGGCTGGGGAAAGAAGGATGCGAACCGTTCCTGGGTTCTAGAGTGTATTGAACAGCAGACAAGCTTGACAACCACCTCTGGCTCCTGGCTGGATGGCTGTCATGGCTGCCACCCTGGCTTCCTGCTAACACTCAGGCCCCACCCCATATTCTCCATGCAGCAGACCAAAGGATCCCCATCAAAACCTAAGTTACATCCTCTCCCTCCTCCCAGGGTTACCATGGCATCTGAATAAAAGCAAGAACCCTTACTCCCCAGAGTACCCTCTCCCAGACCCCTAGGTGGCTTACCCCACCCTCCTATCCATGCCAATGTCACCTCGTCAGAGGCCCTGCCCACCCCGTATAAAAGAGCCATCCTCCTTCTTCCACCCTTTGTCCCTTCCATCGACTATGTTGTTTTTTTCTTTACATTTATCCCTACCTGATGTTCTTAAAAACATTTCTTTGGTCTGTGAGCTCCCAGACGGCAGGCACCATGTCTATTTTGCTCACTCCTGGGTTCCCAGGGCCCAGAATAGTGCCTGATACATAGTAGGTGCTCAGTAAATGTCTGTAGCATGAGTGAATGCATGAATGCACAAATATTCTCCTAATCTCTCTGGTCCCAGGTCCCCATCCTGCTCCATGATGATGACACAAAATTGGCATTGATAGGATCCTGAGCCCAAAACCCATGACCCTGGCCTCCCCCAACATCCCCCTGAGGCTTCGTGGTGTCTCAACTCCAAAGCTATCTGAGACGACTCCCTGCTCTCCTCTGACACCCTCCTCCTGCCTGCCTCTCTGTGTAGGGGATGACACCACCAGCCACAGACTGCCTGTGCCCTGAGGACTTCCTGTGGCTCCCACTATCCCCAGGCAGCTGGCCCCGCCCATCCTGCTGCGTAGGCTCCTCTCATGGTCCTTCTTTCTGGCCTAGGCCTCGTCATCTTTCCCATGGACGCTGCCATCACCTCCCAATTGGCCTCCTACACCAAGTCTCACTCTCACTCAGGTCCCAGGTCTCCATCCTGCTCCACAATGACACAAAATTGGCATTGCTGGGATCCTGAGCCCAAAACCTGTGAGACTGGAAGAACATTTATGCATTCATGCATTCACTTATGCTACAGACTACAGACATTTACTGAGCACCTACTATATGTCACCTCCCACTCTCTCATCCATCTTTGAATCCCCCTGGGTGTCAGATGCTAGGGAAACATTGGCTGAGAGTTGATGGCTTGAACTGATGGTTTGTAGGATCAGAAGGTCACCTGGTCCGACTCCGCAGCCTGGGGTGGAATGTCCTCTCCAGGCATCCATTCACCTAGCTGGAAAATCCTGAGCTGGGGTCGTTCAGGTCACCGTAGAGTGCCGTGGGGCCTAAGATCACTGATATGGGGTTCAGCTGACCTGGCTGCAGGTTCTTCCTTACCACATGGCTACGGGTGAGCGGGTTTCAGTCTTCCTGTCTGCGAAGTGGTGAAAATGACAATATGTCAGGGATGACGGGGAAGAAAAATGCCCACACAGCATTCCCAGCCTGTTGCCTGGCCTCCCACTTCACCAAGACACAGGAGAGCCCACCTGAGCAGTGAGATGGGCTTTTCTTCAATTTGGTATAATCCCTATTTTAAGCCCCTGCACCACCGGCTGGGAGAAGCTCGGGCTTCGTCAAGCCAGTACACGGGTTGCAGGTATCCTTGGAGCTGGGAATGTTAACTGTCCATGCTGATGTTCTCAAGGGCTCCTCCAGACTACACGGTCTCTGGTGTTTGCTGTGCCATCTCCTGGGTCAGGAGCCCCTCGGGTTGAGCACTCCTTCTTCCCCTCGGCATTCAAGTCACTGCCAGGTGGCCTGATGCCTATGGGGCCTGTCACAAGATCAGACCTATCAGCCTAGACAGACCTGATTTCCCTGGGTCTGTCCCCTCCTTGGGCAGCAGCATGGCCTGAAAGGTGAGAGCCCTGACCCTGGAGCCCAGCTGCTGGGATTCCAGCCTCATTTCTGCCCCTTGCTGTGTGACCTGGAGCAGATTGCTTCATGTCTCTGAGCCCTGGTTTTCTTGCCTACAAAACAAGGTGAAAATACTACCTACCTCTGAGGATTTAACAAGATGATGCCCAGGAAGTCCTTGGCCTGGTGCCAAGTGTTTGTTGGCTCTTTCCATTGTGGGTTCTCCCTGCAAATAGAGACATGGGTCCTGCAATTCTTGGGTCCTTCTTCATTCCAGTTGAGACATGTGACCCTTGGTTCAGGTAAACAACGATGTCTGTCTCTCCTCTCTGACACTCCTGGGCCCCCGGGGGGACACTCGCTACCTTCTGTGGCTGTGGCTGTGGCTGTGACCTCCCTCTGGGTCTTCTCTTGGTCCAGGCATATCTCAGATCTTCTGAAGCCCAAAGCTCTTTTTTTTTTCTTTTTTGGCTTTTTCTCTAATATCCCAGAAAAGATTTTTTTAAATGAGTTTGAAAATACTCTTATCTAATGGCATATTGTCTTCATCATCACCATTTTCATTAGGGCTGAACAAGCTCTCCTCAAAATTCTGTTCATCTAGACAGGCACAGGGGAGGCAAATCCCGGAGGCCATCATCTGCTCAGCCTGTGCCCCCAGCTCCCCTCCTGTTCCTCCATATACAGGTGAAGAAACAGGCCAGAGAGGGAAAATGACTTGTCAGAGCCCTGTGGCACTGAAAGCCAATCGAGATTCTCACTCCAAACTGCAGGTTCTTTTTCCTGACTCTGGAAGGTGTTGAGGAGGCAAGGGAAGCAGGATCTAGAGATGGGGCGTCCTCGATGCTCCCTTCCGCTGCAGAGTTTCCAAGTCCCCAGATACCCACTCTCTTTTCCCAGCATTTGGCTTGCTGTGTCCTACTGCCAGTGCTCAGAGGACATGGGGAGAGCCCCGGCCTTGCCCCTTCTCCCTCTCTCCCATTCCACGCTCTCCTCCTCCCCTGCACCCCCATCTCCCTCTCTTCTCCCTGCTCTCCTTCTCCTTCTGCCTCTCCTACTCTTCTTGTCCTCCCTCCTAGAAAGCCCCTCCCCCAGTGACCCCCATCTGAAGGCAGCTCCGGTGTGCTGCGCATCAGCTCTGGACCCTGCTCCACCCACCTCATCTGGATGAAAAGCTGCAGCCAGGAATATTGAGGAGGTTGGGGGACAGAGCCAGCTGGAGTGCAGGCATCTCTAGCTGGGCCAGGCAGCTCAGTGGCTAGTCACATGACCTCCTCTGTCCACCATGCTCTTGCTCTAAGACCCAGTGCTGGCCTTTCCCTCTCAGTGCCTCATCCGAAGGCTGGGAGTAAAATGACAAGCACCTTCTCCTGACCTTCCATGTGGGGTCAAGAGAAGCCGACCAGGGAAAGCCTCTGCACACAGCAGATGCTCAATAAGGGCTCCCATGTGTGACTGCCATTCCCCCAGTTGTCCCAGGTGTCCCAGCCAAGAAGTGCCATCCTCTGCCTTCTCCTCATGTCCCCACAGAATGATCTATTCTACAGATGAGGAGAGTGAGGAAAACCAGGGCCAGACACAAGCCCCAGGCTCCCTGGCCCACCCCCACCACCTGAGGGCAGCACAACTTCCCCCAGTCTCTGAGCTCCCGGGACAGGGCTGACTCCACCTGGAAATGTGGGTGAAAACTACCTTCTTGCCTTTAGGGAGCCGTCAGCAGCTGCTGGCCTGGGGTCCGTGGCAGCCCTCTCTCTCTATCTCCCTATCTATTTCTGTCTCTTTCTGTCTCTCTTTTAGAGACAAGGTCTGGCTCTCTCAACCATGCTGGGGTGCAATGGCGCAATCACAGCTCACTGCAGCCT